ATGAAACAGGTCCAAAACAGTCCAAATCCGCAGATAAAAAATTTTGTTTTGAATTTCTGTATAGCACAATAGTGAACTTTTTGTGAACATTAACGGCAAAGAACTCACCAACACTGCGAGACCGTGAGTTCCTGCCCAACTGTCATAAAACCGTCTTGGGACATGGGATTAACGACAAAAAGTTCTCCGACGAAAAGGACTGGCATACTTTATACTTTGCTTCCGGACTGATAGAAACCATCATGGGTTTTTCGCACAGAATCACACTGCCCGCCTTGAAATCTCTCTCAGCCACCATGCTCCTTCCAAAATGTGGCAGTTCCTTCGTCGCAATTCCCTGTGCCACGAAAGGGATTTTGGGGTTCGCTTCAACGTTAAGAGCCAGCTTCGGACATGGTGTAGAACTTTTGTGTTCACCGGCGTCGATCTTACCCTTGCAGCGAAGTTCCCGGGCTTGCAACTTCGGCATCAACCGTTCCGGATATTCATGCCTCTTGGCTAGAGCAACATTGGCCATGGCGAATTCGTATTCTTCATTTTCGTAGTAGATAGCCGATCGATTAGCATACCCAATCACCAGATCCTCTGAATCAATCTGGGCCCAGCAGATGCTTTCGTTGTACTTCTCCAGTGCCTCCAGGTAGATCTTTTTCTGATACAACTTGTTCCCTTCCTGTCGTGCCTTGGCAGCCTGGACATTGCATTTGGGCAAATCTGCGTTCCGCTCTTCCTCCTCACTTACCAGCCGTGGTACATTGCACTGGACGTAGTCCCGATAGGCAAACATATCACCATCTGCCAGATGAGGATTCTTGGTAAACGCTTCTATCAAGTAGCGGGTGATCGTCAGCTGCATGAACATTTTGCTATCATCTTGAAACTCCTGCTGCTGCTGCTCGTTGGCAAGGAGCTTAGCGATAATGTGCGAGTTCCACATTTTCAAAGCGCAGTTTCAATCGGTTTTTTTTTTCGAACTCCCGTCTGAGGCCGGGTTTGTTTTGTGCTTAGCAGACTGAATACCAATATCTGTGTTAGAAGACTGGTAAAAGAACAGAAATAAGGAACTGTAATGACGGATACACACAGTATTATCTTGTCTTATCGTGTTACTCCAAGTTGAAGTGTCAGCCCTCTTCGGTGTTCCACCATAATCCGTCTTTTGTGTTTCGGTACATTTTTCTTGCGTCCGTTTAGTCAAATCATATACTTGACCCCAAATTTACTTGACACTTAAAGCGATCCATCATAATAGATGTTTCAACAACTCTCGGCGGTACGCCAACGAGAAGCAAAACAAGTAAAAATGGTTTCCGAAAGTTAACGTGTATTTCGATTTCGTTGAAAAATTCCTGTAATAATTGAGGCTTTTAGGAATAATTACAATGAAATCCCTAAATCTTTCTCACTTACGTTTGATATTTTAACTCGTCTTGTTGGTGCTTCCTTCTGTCCTCTTTTACGTCGGGTTGAAATTTAAGTGCTGTAAACCAGTAATATTAAAAACACGTTCTTTTTCGGTTTCAATGTTCTACTACCGTCACAAAGAACACCTCCTGTTATGTCCACAGGCCTGGGTTTACCTGCCGGATGATTAACACCGAACCTTAACAAGCTTATGTAAATACTTCTACTACTGGTAAGCGTGATTACCTCTCACCCCAGCAGGCCTCGCCGGGATGTTCTGAGTGATGACACCACTTCGTGTTTTGATTTGCGCTGTATCGTCCGCTCAGTTGTGTGGGTTCGTACATGTATAGATGTTGGTGTGCGTGTTTTCTTCCAACGGAGCAGTTCAACGTTGTTTCGTCACAAACCGTTTGGCGCTATTATTTATCTGTCTCTATAAATTCCAAGGAGTGAAGAGGGTCTGCTATAACAAAAATAAATCTAGATCGAGCTTGAATAAGGGCCTAACAGCTTTTGTAAAATAAATACTTCTCTCGATGATTAGCTGTTCGGTCTTTGTTCTAGCTATATCTGGAAAATCAAACGTTACGTTGGCACAATCTTTGCTCGATAATCGGATTGGTGTTCAATGACTGATTGGTGTTTACAGTGATCGTAAATACGGCTCTAATAGAGATTTGGAGGGTTTTTAGGTGTCACTAATGTATCCCCAAAAAAAAATTCCCAACCCATTATTTTCAAGCCGGTGGGTAAGGAAATCTTTAAATCGATTTATCTCCGCAAATACGGCTCTAATCGAGATTTGGAGGGTTTTTAGGTGTCACTAATTTTTCCCCCCAAAATTTTTTTCTCAATTCATTATTTTCAAGCTGGCGGGCGATTTATCTCCGTAAATACGGCTCTAATCGAGATTTGGAGGGTATTTAAGTATCAGTATTTTTTTCCCAAAAAAAAAAATTCCCAACCCATTATTTTCAGGCTGGCGGGTAAGGAAATCTTTAAATCGATTTATCTCCGTAAATACGGCTCTAATCGAGATTTGGAGGGTTTTTTGGAGTCAGTAATTTTTTCCTAAAAAAAAATTTCCCAACCCATTGTTTTCAGGCTGGAGGGGATGGAAATCTTTAAATCGATTTATCTCCGTAAATACGGCTCTAATCGAGATTTGGAGGGTATTTAAGTATCAGTATTTTTTTCCCAAAAAAAAAATTTCCCAACCCAATATTTTCAGGCTGGCGGGGAAGGAAATCTTTAAATCGATTTATCTCCGTAAATACGGCTCTAATCGATATTTGGAGGGTTTTTAGGTGTCAGTATTTTTTTTCCCAAAAAAAATATTCCCAACCCAATATTTTCAGGCTGGCGGGGAAGGAAATCTTTAAATCGATTTATCTCCGTAAATACGGCTCTTATCGAGATTCGGAGGGTTATTTGGAGTCACTAATTTTCCCCAAAAAAAAAAATTTCCCAACTCATTATTTTCATGCTGGCGGGTAAGGAAATCTTTAAATCGATTTATCTCCGTAAATACGGCTCTAATCGAGATTTGGAGGGTTTTTTGAAGTCACTAATTTTTTCCCAAAAAAAAAAGATTCCCAACCTTTTATTTTCAGGCTGCCGGGTAAGGAAATCTTTAAATCGATTTATCTCCGTAAATACGGCTCTAATCGAGATTTGGAGGGTTTTTTGGAGTCAGTAATTTTTTCCCAAAAAAAAAAAATTCCCAGCCCATTATTTTCAGGCTGGCGGGTAAGGAAATTTTTAAATCGATTTATCTCCGTAAATACGGCTCTAATCGAGATTTGGAGGATTTTTTGGAGTCAGTAATTTTTTCCTAAAAATAAAAAATTTCCAACCCATTATTTTCAGGCTGGAGGGTAAGGAAATCTTTAAATCGATTTATCTCCGTAAATACGGCTCTAATCGAGATTTGGAGGGTATTTAAGTGTCAGTAATTTTTTCCTAAGAAATAAATTTCCCAACCCATTATTTTTAGGCTGGAGGGGAAGGAAATCTTTAAATCGATTTATCTCCGTAAATACGGCTCTAATCGAGATTTGGAGGGTTTTTTGGAGTCAGTAATTTTTTCCCAAAAAAAAAAATTCCCAGCCCATTATTTTCAGGCTGGCGGGTAAGGAAATTTTTAAATCGATTTATCTCCGTAAATACGGCTCTAATCGAGATTTGAAGGGTTTTGGAGTCAGTAATTTTTTCCTAAGAAATAAATTTCCCAACCCATTATTTTTAGGCTGGAGGGTAAGGAAATCTTTAAATCGATTTATCTCCGTAAATACGGCTCTAATCGAGATTTGGAGGGTATTTAAGTGTCAGTATTTTTTTCCCAAAAAAAAAATTTCCCAACCCAATATTTTCAGGCTGGCGGGGAAGGAAATCTTTAAATCGATTTATCTCCGTAAATACGGCTCTAATCGAGATTTGGAGAGTATTTTGGAGTCAGTAATTTTTTCCCAAATTTTTTTTTCCCAGCTCCTTTTTTTCAAGCTGGCGGGTAAGGAAATCTTTAAATTGATTTATCTCCGTAAATACGGCTCTAATCGAGATTTGGAGGGCTTTTTGGAGTCAGTAATTTTTTCCCAAAAAAAAAAATTCCCAACTCATTATTTTCAAGCTGGCGGGTAAGGAAATCTTTAAATCGATTTATCTCCGTAAATACGGCTCTAATCGAGATTTGGAGGGTTTTGGAGTCAGTAATTTTTTCCTAAGAAATAAATTTCCCAACCCATTATTTTTAGGCTGGAGGGGAAGGAAATCTTTAAATCGATTTATCTCCGTAAATACGGCTCTAATCGAGATTTGGAGGGTTTTGGAGTCAGTAATTTTTTCCTAAGAAATAAATTTCCCAACCCATTATTTTTAGGCTGGAGGGGAAGGAAATCTTTAAATCGATTTATCTCCGTAAATACGGCTCTAATCGAGATTTGGAGGGTTTTGGAGTCAGTAATTTTTTCCTAAGAAATAAATTTCCCAACCCATTATTTTTAGGCTGGAGGGGAAGGAAATCTTTAAATCGATTTATCTCCGTAAATACGGCTCTAATCGAGATTTGGAGGGTTTTTTGGAGTCAGTAATTTTTTCCTAATAAATTAATTTCCCAACCCATTATTTTTAGGCTGGAGGGGAAGGAAATCTTTAAATCGATTTATCTCCGTAAATACGGCTCTAATCGAGATTTGGAGGGTTTTGGAGTCAGTAATTTTTTCCTAAGAAATAAATTTCCCAACCCATTATTTTTAGGCTGGAGGGGAAGGAAATCTTTAAATCGATTTATCTCCGTAAATACGGCTCTAATCGAGATTTGGAGGGTATTTTGGAGTCAGTAATTTTTTCCTAAAAATAAATTTCCCAACCCATTATTTTTAGGCTGGAGGGGAAGGAAATCTTTAAATCGATTTATCTCCGTAAATACGGCTCTAATCGAGATTTGGAGGGTTTTTAGGTGTCACTAATTTTTCAAAAAAAAAAAAAAAAAATCCCAACCCAACATTTTCAGGCTGGCCTAACCCATTATTTTACCGCTCTATTCGAGATAAAAACAAATACGGTTCGAACGAAAACAAAAATGTGGGTGTATATTTGAGAGAAAATTAAAGGGTTTTGTATTTTCGTGGTTTCTTTTTTACTAGCTTTTAAACATATTCTTAAGTTTACATTCCATTGAATGGTTCTATCCAGACATCTCCATCGAATGACTCTCTTTTCTTTTATCCTGAACCGGACCTTCTTGTCTTCTGTTCTCTTTTATAATTATGCCCTTTTCCTAAGTGCCTTCGAGATCTTATTCTCGGTGAAGCAGCACATACAGTGCCAACATTCCAAGAATACCGTACTTCAAATTGGGATACTCGTTCATGTAAATCGTAATCATTCCAACGTAAGGCAGAAATCCTCTTGCCCTTCCTACGATGTCCTTTTTGGTGAGCCACAGCTGACCCGGAGCGTAAAGGCCCCGATCGTCCACCGAGTTGTTGTCACCCTTGGTCAGAAACTTGACCGTTCCGTTGTTCTTCTCGTGCAGTTTAATCACCCGATGTACGATTGGAATGTCGCGACCTTCGATTTTGAACACCACAATTTCACCCACGCGAACCGGTTCCTCCTGGTTGGTCAGAAACAGCAGGTCTCCGCTGAAATGAAAATATAGGAAATCATAAACATTCAACATTCATTACAGAAACAGTGAGCAAACTCCTACCGATGGAAAGCCGGTTCCATACTGCCACTGAGGACGACCACGATTGGCGATTCACTTCCAGTCACGACCATTAGCCCTTTCCAGATCATCAGCGCCGAGGAAACGATCATTCCGAAGCTCAAAACCTGGAAGAAAAACTGCAACGCAGCGAAGCAACAGCCGGAAAAAAATGGGTTTGATAAGAACGATGCCTACACAGAAAAAGACATCTTTTTGTAACTCACCTGCCGTTTGTCCATCCGCTGGACATCGCTCAACAGTCCGTCGACACCGAGAGATTCCATTACACCCATTTTTGTGCGATTTTCTGATATACAAACGAAGTAATCTTCCCAAGCAAAAACGATGGCGTGTCCCTTGGAAAGTCGCGTTCCTTCCACAGCAGCAAAGCAAGAAGCAGATACAAAAATTTCGATCGGCAACGTCGTTTGACAGCTTCATACGTGTCTCGATATCGGGTTGTTTTGACAGCAGGTGTCACGCACACATGCGCGTAAATTGCGGGCTTGTGCCCAAATAGTGGCATCGCTTTATTGGTCGAACAAAGGCGAAGGCAGTTGTAGAATCCAACTCCATCATAAATAAAGCCCTACAGTAAAAGTATGGACGTCTGTCAAAAGTTTTTCCAATCGAACCGTCAAAATGCACCGCTTTGCTCGATTGGAACCGAGATTGGAACAGCTTTTTTTCAGTTTTGTGGTAACAGTCGTCCATACTTTTACTGTAGGGCTTTAATCATAAAGCGCTTTTTGACCACCAGAATATATTCTCGCCGGCTCGCCCAAGCAAATCAATATCACCATCAGCTAATTTGTTTATTTGTTTATTTGTTATGGTTGCATCAACAGACTAGAAATAGTCCCAATCACAAACGAAGTGACAGACGACCTACTGGCGAAGAAATCCATTAAAATAATGTGGTTCACTGTAATAGAATTTTCTTGGAAGCTTGTGCCATCATCCACCAGATGGGTTAGTTTTTTTGTTTTGATTTGAACAAAGTTGATTTTGTGTACAATGATTATTTGACAGTGTGCAAAGAGTGCGTATCATTTTGTCATTTTTTTATGCATTTCAGTTTTGAGTAGAGTGAAAGAGATAGAACCAAAACATTCTAGTACATTCGGTTAAAATGCTAGTTCAATCTAGTAGTAGTGTTGCCATGTGGTACAATCAACAATCAATACGAAACTAACGATTTTAAATTGGCTCACCACTTTAGTAGCCTATTGGTCCCAAGCAAACGATTAACGTACCCTATTCTAGTTGAAATTCTATTACTACACTATGTTTGTTTTGATTCGCTATGAAAGTTTGACAGATAACATCAGGGGTGTGTGGATTCATGCAGAACATGCAGGGGTGAGTGAAATAGCTTGGGACTGCTTGGGACCGTTGTTCTGGTACTGAGTGAGCCAAAAATAATAATGATTTTCTTCGGGACCCAGTGGTCTTAGAGTTACCTCTATGGTACAATCCAGTAGTAGTGGTGTTGCCATGTGGTACACTGAAAAATTGCAATAGCAGGTTAGTCACCAAAGTTTTCGAGCCGTTCCGTCTGTCACTTCGTTTGTGGTCCCAATGATGTGTTGTAAAAAAGTACAGATTATACAGACGACATACATATACTACAGTTACTACAGTTACAAACGAAAATAACTTGGAAAGCATTGTCAAGTTACTAAAAATTTATAAATCTTAAATTTTACACTTAGCTGTTGGGTATCAAGCGCCTTCGGTCAGCAAAAAAGGCAGAGAATCTTCGGCGAAGCATATTCCGTGTCAAGTGGAAATCGAACATCGACGCTACTCGGTTGAACACTAGCTGCAAGCCGTAAATAGCGCTCCCTATGCTATAATTAGTTCGAAGAAGTGGAAGTCTCAGCATAAGACTGTTGCGTAGTGATCGAGGTTGAACATTAATGTTCACTTGTTGCAGAATTGCTTCGCAGTCAATTCTTCCTTGCAGAGTATCGGCGACGGTTAAGGCTCTGAAAACATCTCTTCGGATACGTAAGGGCTCGATATTGATCAATTGGCAGCGATTCTCGTAGCTTGGAAGACGAAGTGGGTATCTCCAAGGCAGCTTACGGAGCGCGAAGCGAAGAAAACGTCGTTGAACAGATTCAATTCGCTCGGCCCCATTATTGTAGTTCGGGCTCCAGACAGCAGAGCAGTATTCCAACGTAGATCGTACGAGAGAGCAATAGAGCGATTTCAAGCAGTAAATGTCCGTGAAGTTCTTAGTAATCTTGAAGACAAAGCCAAGCGTTCTGGACGCTTTGTCGACGACATACGATATATGGTGTGAGTATGTCAGCTTTGAGTCTAGAAAAACGCCTAAGTCTTTCACGCAGTGCACCCGTTCGATAGTCGTGCCTAGTTTGTAGTTGAAAATAATCGGTTGTTTCTTGCGTGAGAAAGTAATAACTGTACACTTAGCTGGGTTGACCACCAGTCGGTTTAGACTACACCAGTCAGCAAAGATGTCAATCTGATTTTGGAGAGAACGGCAGTCGGCGAGTGAGCGGATGCGCAGAAAAACTTTCAGATCGTCTGCAAACGATAATCGTGGCTCTGTGATAACATGGTGAACGTCGTCGAAGTAGAGGAGAAATACCAATGGTCCCAGATGGCTGCCCTGAGGTATACCGGACTTTGCGCAGAAGCTAGCTGAGCGACAAGTACCCAAAGTTACTGTCAATTGGCGCTCCGTGAGGTATGAACGAAACCATCTCAAAAGATTTCCACCGATCCCTAGCCTATCAAGCTTAACGATCACAATTTCGTGGTTCAGCTTATCGAAGGCTGCCGTAAGATCTGTGTAGATAACGTCCGTTTGGGTCCGAGCAATCAAACTGTCTGTGATGTAAGACGTTAGGCACAGCAGGTTCGTAGTTGTGGAACGCCCAGTTATGAATCCTTGTTGATCTGTACTTAGATATTGCCTGCAATGCGCATTTAGGGACTCTATGACAACCAATTCAAAAAGTTTTGATACAGCACTCAGCGACGTGATTCCCCGGTAGTTGTTTACGCCGCGTTTGCTTCCCTTTTTATGAACAGGAAACATATCCGCAGTCTTCCAGCAAGACGGAAAGATGCCGCTGGAAAGAGAGAGCTGGAATATGCGGCGCAGTGGATCTAAAAGACAAGTGATGTTCTTTTTAAGAATAATCGACGGAACACCATCGGGTCCAGCCTTAGTTGAAGTCTTAAGTTTAGATGCTGCTCTAGAAATCGTATCTGTAGTGGCTTCGACCATGCTGAGCGTTTGGTTGATCAAAGGAACATTACTGGCCGCGGAAGTAATGATATTAGCGGAGAGTTGCTCGGCTACAAACACACTAGCAAATTTGGCTGAGAACAGGTTGCAAATGTCTTGTTGATTTCCAGCAGTTTCACCATTAAAAATCATGAAAGAGGGTAAGCCGACTTCCCTGCGTTGCTCATTTACGAAGTTCCAGAAGGATTTCGGGTGTGATTTTAGCCGCCGTTGAATCCTCCTTTGATAGCGTTGAAAACAGAGCCGACTTAACCGCTTATACTCGTGGTTGAGTCTGACATAGTAGCATTTCAGTGGCAGTGTGCGGAGTTTAGTAAATCTTCTGAGAGCAGCCTTCTTAGTTCTTTTCAACGAGCGAAGATCTTTCGTCATCCACGGGACGCGAGAGTCGATATGGATGATCTTTTTGGAAACGTGTCTGTCAATGACATATGCCAAGACGTGAGAAAAGGTTTGTGCAGCAATGTTGACGTCTACAGGATCTAGAATATGCTCCCAATCTAGATTAGACAGCACATGGACGATACTGCAATGATCAGCTCTACGGAAGTCATATGACACAGCGTTTGGAGTGCTGGTGAAATCATGGACAATATTATTTTCGATCACGATAACTAAAGCAGGGTGATGATGCACTACCTTGACTAAATGTTCGGGTGCCGTGGAGAGGAAAGGAGCTGTATCACGAGCACTCACAAAGCAGAGATCCAGGGTGCGGTTTGTTTTCATTCAACAGGCCATTGATTTGTGACAGAATTGCGGTACTATAACTGTCCAGGAGCTGGATGGTTCCTACGTGGAAAGATGAACGCTCGTGATCAGGACAAAAGAAACCACTATGGGTTGGAGTCCATGCAATGTCCGGTAGGTTAAAATCGCCAAGAACAATAACTTCGTCGGAAGGGCCTGCTTTGTCTGAAGCGGCCAAGACGGATCGACAATGTGCGTCAATAAGCTCCAAGTCACGGGTTCGATCTGGAGGAATGTACACTGCACAGAGAAGCAATTGACGATCACCAAGTTGAATAGCCACCCACATTTGTTCAACCCTGTTCCAGGAATCGTCCTCGATAACTTCTGCTTTCAGCTTGGAATTAACTGCGATAAGGACGCCTCCCCCAGTAGTTTTCCTACTATTATTCGTGTTTCGATCGCAGCGAAATATTTCGTAGCCAGCACCAAAGACATAGTTTGAAATGGTTCGATAATTGAGCCATGTTTCGGTCAAAACTAAAATGTCGTAGCAGTGATCCATGACGGCCAGATGATAATCTTCCACGAGGCCGTTCATACCACCAACGTTCTGATAGTAAATCGTTATGTCCGACCTGCGCTGTTCGGGAACAACGGAAGGTTCAGCGTGTAGTTGCATTTGGGAGCTGGTAGATGTCACTTGACGGAGGAAGGATGTTCGAGTAGGGTCGCTGGAAACCAAGATATTTTCAGGCGATAATAAATTCGTCGGTTGATCATACTTGCCAATAACAGGAATGTGGAAGACCCGTTCTCCCATCTCAAACGCAGGGCCGGGACGACTGCTGGTTGCTGGCAGGAGGGGCTCGACTGCAATGAGTGGAATAGGGGCTTCCTCAGGGCGGACGGCAAGAATGCGTCCCGGAGTGCAGTTGACTGTGGTGGCTCCATGTTGCCGACTGGCAGATGTTTGAGGTGAGTTGAAGGCACTGGAATTATGATCATCATCAGGCAGTGAAAGTTCGCTAGTAAGTGTGTACTTGCCTAATATAGCAAGCTGGGAGACCCTCAATCCACATCTAAACTCAGGGCCAGGACGACTTGGATGAACGCTGGCTGCAATAGGCGCGACTGATTTAGAGGAACTGGGGACTCCCAAAATGCTTTCTACGTTGCGTCCTGGTTGAGAAGTAATTTGCCTCAATAGATTTTCAGAGGGCATCACCGAAAATTCGCTTTGGACCGGGGTCAGAATAACCTGAGTATGGGAGAACTCATCACGCAACGATAAACTTAAATCACAGAGGTACTTGCCTATGCAAGCATGGTGGAAGACCCCCTTTCCACCACCAACTACAGGGCCGAGACGACTATGTTGAACGAAGGCGGCGGTAGGCGGGACTGTGTTGGGGCGATCGGGGGCTTCCATCAGACTTTCTACGGTGCGTCTCGGGGGCATTGTTGATTCGTCAGATGAGGGGATTAAGGGGTGACTGTTATACTGGGTGTACCTAAAGGGGCTGGCATATCGAGAGGTGCTGGTGTCCCAAACGGTGTGCCCGTTGGAGAGCCACCCGGAATAGTCTCTGGAACAGCAGGGAGTGCTGGGATATCAGGAGGTAGCCACACATTGTTTTTCGCCTGAGTATCCTCGAATTCTCTGTATACAATCCCCTGTGGCCAAGTTTCTGGGTTCAAAGCGTTCTCTTTTAGTTTCATTGGAATGCCGACCTTGTAGGAGATGAAGTTCATCGATAGTGGGTCGGTGCCTTTTTTCACTAAAGAGACGACTTTAACTGGTTCAGTCGTTCGCAGTCCATCACGAACAAGTTTCTCAACCACATCTCTCTTAACACTGGGGTGAAACCGGGAAAGGTAAACCCAAAACAGCTATAAGGCCTATAACGGTTATGGTTGAGCGGCGTAGTCACGTACACCATTACACAACACGTGTAAAATTATTCCAGTGTGTTAGAAATAAATCAAACGACTATGATTTTGGCATCACAACCAAGAAACGGTTGATATATGCTCATTTCACAGACAAACAGACATAACATATTAAATATTTCTCACTATAAATCATCGTTGCTAAAACTTTACCGCCATCTGTTAAATACACTGTGGTGGGCAGTACGTTGAACAGATGGCGGTAGTGTGCAAACGTCAAACGCAAGGGAATTTACTATACTTGCGAGTTATATGTGTGTTTGTATGTGCTCATTCTATATCTTCACAACAAGCTGATGAGGTCAAAAATAAAATCATTTTTTTAATTCGTTGATTAATTTGTTTTGTAAGAAAAAATATTACAACTTCTAAATAATTATAACGGATAAAATAGTTTGAATCGTATTAGCATAAATAGATTATAATCTGTATAATTAGACAGTAAAATACTGGATGATAATAGGATCCACTAATAAAATAAAACAGCAAAAAAATGTTATCTTCCATTTAATTCCACTTAATTAATTTTGGTATCCATGACAGATACGTATTTCGACTACAATGTGCAGTCTTCATCAGTGGGAATGACACTGATGAAGACTGCACATTGTAGTCAAAATACGTATCTGTCATGGATACCAAAACTAATTAAGTGGAATTAAATGGAAGGTAACCTTTTTTTACTGTTTTATTTATGCATTCCGCTAACAACCCAATTTCATTACTTCAGGATCCACCATCAAGACAGCTCTATAATATGTTCTAACCATTTAAAACTCTGTAGTATGAACTAGAAATACTCAAGTCTATTGTCTAACTGTCAAATTTACGTCAACGCAACGCAAACGGATCTAATGTGTGTGGCCCTTCAGAGGGAGAGATGGGCGGAGAAAACAAAATACAATTAGGCAGCAGGGATTTGTACCATTTCACAAGACTTTTAATTTCAACTCGAATTACGTGCAAAATAATAATTGATTGCATCGCAATATTTTGCACATTTCTTGGTGCCATTAATTAACGAACTAAGATGAATTAATCAATAGAGTTGAAATTTGCTTTTGATTGCAAAGACTAGTTGAATTTGAAAAGCACACAATACATAAAGGCGGTTGAATTTCTGTTCGATTGCAATACTCTCACATTTAATCTATTAAGAATAAAAAATCCCCGGAAAATTCTAATTTTTTTTTTTTTCTTTGGTTTGTTTTTTCCGTCGATCTTGTTTTCCGTGCTGAGCACCAATGCTACCGACGTGCCAGGAAGGCAGCTCCCACACCTGGACCCTACCTATCGACCCATCAACTTATGAACCGGGGACCAACGGCTTTACTTCCCATCCGAAGGAAGGCGTGATCAGAGATGTTATGCCTCAGAACATCCCGGCGGCGCCGACTGGGATTGAACCCAGGCCTGCTGGGGTGAGAGGTAATCACGCTTACCACTACACAACCGGCGCCGTTCGGAAAATTCTAATGGGAATGTTCGATTGGCTCAGATTTTGACAGATCATTTGGCTCAAAACATTCTCTCCGCCAATATCTCCTTCTGAGTATTTCTATAGTCTGAACAAGGCATTACAATACTTGTGGATTTTTTTTTCATTGTATTCCTTTTTCTTTTGGACACAATCAGCTTTTCGATCCACGCATCTGATTCCTTTTTTGTTTGCACTCGTTTGTGTTGTTGGTTTTGTTTAATAACATTACGACAGTCGCAACAAAATCAAAACACAACTCGCCGGTTCGGTGCGTAGATTGCAAAATTTAAGTTAATGTTATAACTATAGTGGTTCTTATTGTGATATGTGGTGAATTAAAAATCAGCTGAAGTGTTCCGCCTTAAGGTCTACGTCAAGGTAATTCTCATATTTTCCCTCCATTCTACGTCACAAACTACAATATATAAAGCTACAATCCCTGTTCCCACGTCGATTGAAATTTCCTTTTCTCGATTTACCTCGGTTCAAACCCGAGCCAAAACGGTTCTGTCGATGTAATCACTCCAGTAATTCTGCTTCCTGCATCCAGCAGTGGATCCCCGGGTCTTTGTTTCAGGTGGAAATTCTGCATCAAAGCGGAAAATATCAGAAACATAGTATTGCGAGCAAAGGTTTCCCCCGCACACAGCCGCTTCCCGGCGCCGAACGGTACGGAGATGTCTTTTTTTAGCGAAAGTGCTCCACGTTCGTCCAAAAATCGTTCTGGTCGAAAGCACTCTGGATCGACCCAAAATTCCTTTTGGTTGTGGATTACATCCAATCCGAGCAAAACGAAGCATCCCTTCGGGATGTCGTATCCCCGGAGTTTGGTATCCTTGAGAGCCACGTGGGAAATACCGGACGGAACGAGGGTATCGATCCGGAGTGCTTCCCGCAGGGTAGCTTCCGTGTAGGACAAGTTAACGCGATCGTCCAGGGTGGGGAGACGTCCTCGTCCGACGACGTCATCCAGCTCCTGCTGGACTTTTAGGGCAACGCGTGGATTGAGGAGTAGTCGTTGGAGAAGCATTGAAAGTTGGATGGCCGTACCGGACAGAGTTGGGAGGAGCATGTCCCACAGAATCATTATCAGTTGGTCGTCTGAAATGGGAAGGAGGATGGAGGAATGCATTTTAGTTGTTCACAGGATTCGAACTTACATTGAAAGGTGAAAGCATCTCCTTCCAGCGGTGTGGTTTTCTTCATTTCGTGAATGTACCGGTCCAGGAAGCACCGGATGTGGTTCTCGTCGTACGAGGTTAGATATTTATTTACCATCGCTTCTACCAGTTCATTAATTTTGATGTTGGCTTCCCTTAGTATTCGATAGTTGGTGGCCTCTGGGAAGTAGTCCTTAAGCCAGGGAAGGTAGCTCAGAATAGTGCCGTAATCATCGCCTTTCTGCTGGAAGTGAAGCGCGTAGCGGCCGGTTCTGTAAGGTGACAACAACATAGGTTGGATTGAGTGTAATTTTGTAATTGTAATTTTCCCGAATACTACAGAGATAGTCCAACTATAGCGAGGAATAAAAGTTGACCTACAAGTTACACATGTATCACCGATCAACAGTTTTGCATGTGTAAGATGTAGCTGAATTATGTTGGACGGGTATCCTGCATTGCTCCATTTGCACAGAGCCAGAGAACAAGTCCCGTGAGAAGTCAACAAAATGTAATTATTTTCAGGTTGGTAGCGGATGCTGAAGAGCATTGCAAGTATTCAGCACCTTGACCTTCTTGGTCGATGATTTTCATGTGTGTTGTACTTTGGCGCGCATTGCTTGACCGTAAACGATGCCAGAGGCAGAGCACTTCATAACTTCTCTAGGGGAAACAGCCCTATTGTTGCGGTACGTTAGCAGTGTTAGAAGCAGGGTTGATTCCACTCACTTGCTATAAAAAAATATTTTTCGAAACTATGCAATCATTAGATGTTATAATGCTATGTTGTACTTGTAAGTAACAAGAAGAGGGTGTAAAGTATGTGTTGGACTCATAAAACCTGTCAATTTCGCTTTGAGAGTGTCACAATCAGCGATCTTATGATTCGTGAGCGTTCACTCAGAGTGAGCGTTCACTCAGAGTGAGCGCTCACGAATCGTAAAATCGCTGATAGTGACGCACTCAAAGCAATATTGACAGATTTTATGTGTCATACATATACTTCATGACCTCTTATTGTAACTTACAAGTACTAATTAGCATTATGCTATATCATGATATCATAATTCCAAAAAACATTTTTTTATAGCAAGTGAGTGGAAGTAACCCTGGTTAGAAGCCTATTGTTGTGTATGAAGGTCACCATACACAACAATAGGCTTCTAACACTGCTAACGTACCGCAACAATAGGGCTGCATCCCCTATAACACTTTCGCAATCCTAGGAGAACAATTGGTAAACGGAAAGACCAGTTCCTAGAATCGACGCACATGATATGATCATAGAGTTGTATCATTTCCATCGAGACTCAGCGTTCATACATTTCGACCACCGACCGAGCATACTAAAATCAGAACAATCGCTGCAGCGCTAAGAATAATCAACATTGCATTCATAACAATCAATCCCACATTCCAAATCGCACAGAGAGTCGATCGTTTGCACTTCACTCATTCAGTCCAGTTGATGTACATTTATGGTTCCAACTGAGACTCGAATAGTGTAGTAGTCAAGCAGTATAGTCCGGTTTTGACTCGCTCAGTCGAGTTGTTCGAGTTGCGCGTTTGTTCGTGTCGTAGTGCCGGTTGCATCGTGGGATGGGAAGGCAGCGCTCCCGGAGCAAGCTCCGTGAGAAAGTGGAGAATAGTGGTGAAGGTAGCTCGTGCGTACCTATTACAAAAAGGTACGCTATTCCTCCCACCGATGTTGGGAATGCCCTACCAGCGGAAGTGAAGCGGACGAAGAAAAGGAAGAAGAATCAGGGCCAGTCCGATGGTGCGAGTGGCCGTGACACCATGACGAACGTCAGCGGTACCGTCGAGCATGAAAATTCTGCCGTCCCGAGTGCGGCAAAAGTCAAGCTTCCTCCACTGGTGGTGATGAAAGTGCCACTCCACATGCTCATTAGCGATCTCACATCGCTGGCCGTTGCAGCTGAATTCAAGCTGAGCAGGATCGGCACCAAGGTGATGCTGCGTACCAAAGCGGAGTACGAAGCAACCGTGAAGTACCTGAAGGATTCCAGGGCGGAATACTTCACACATAACATCCTCAGTGAGAAGCCCTTCAAGGTAGTCATCAGGGGCTTATCGAACTTCAACCCCAAATCGATCGAAGAAGAACTTAAGGACCGTTACAAGCTAGCCCCAATCGCAGTCTTCTGGATGACGTGGAGAGACGAAAACGTGAAAACGTACCCGGATTGCCTTTTCCTGGTTCATTTCCAGAAGGGAATGGTGACGCTAAATGCGTTGAAGGCCATCCGCTCCATCAACTTCATCATTGTTTAATGGGAGCCATACCGTGGCGGCCGTCACGACGTAACCCAGTGTCAGCGTTGCCTGAATTTCGGGCATGGCACACGAAACTGCTACATCAATCCGCGCTGTGGCAAATGCGCCCAAAATCATGTCTCCTCCGAGTGCGTTGTCGACCAGTCGGAAACGTGCAAATGCGCCAACTGTGGTGGAGCTCATCAAGGGTCCGACAAACAGTGTCCCAAACGCGAGGATTTCAAGCGGATCCGAAAGCAAGCGTCCACAAGAAGCCAACCAGGACGGAAGAAGGAGAACTTCACGCCTCTTCGTGTTACGCAACACGGTCAAGCAAATCCACGGGTGCAATCTGGCCCCGTCAAGAAACGTCTGGTGCCTCAGCTGGAAAAAGCTCTCCAGAGACAACCACCAGCACAAAACGCCAATTCCGATCTCTTTGCGGATGAGCTGATGAAGATTTTCGTCGACATATCCAGCGCTCTTCGTCAGTGCCGCAACAAGCCCGAACAGATTCAAGTGCTCGGTAAGTTTATCATTCAGTATGGCGTCTAAACCGTTAACTATAGTCACTTGGAACGCTTGCTCTGTACGAGCCAAAAAAGTTCGAGCTTGCTGCCTTCCTCCGCAAGCATAGTATCGAAATGGATCCCAGGAGGGGTGGTGTTGCGGTCGTCGTCAAGAAAGGAATAAAATACCGCAGTCTGTCCCATCTCCACACCTCTATCATCGAGGCCCTTGGTGTGGAGGTGGAGTCGTCGACCGGATACGTCCAGTTCATCGCCGTCTACTGCCCTCGACAGTGTGCCGCCAGCAGTGGACTAGCGGCTAAATTCAAGAAGGGCCTGTACCCCATCACCCGTACCGGTTCTGGCTTCGTATTTGGAGGAGATCTAGATACTCGCCATGAGGCCTGGTGGAACTACCAGCAGAACCAGAACGGTCGTCTGCTGTTCGACCATTCACAGCATGGGCTGTACTCCGTTTGGTTTTCGGATGAACCAACATTTATCTCACCGGTGGGCAACCTATCGACGCTAGACATGTTCCTGACAAATATCGGCTTGTCCAAGACGCCAGTTTCAGAGGACTGGAGATCTGGGCAAAAAACGTGAAATGGCCGATCTGAACAGGCAGATTGCTTCCAGAATGGACTCACTCCGAAATGAAAGTTTCGGGCGTGTTGTCCAGAATATGGACGACCTCTCCAGACCATTCTGAAAGGTAGCCAAGGTCCTGAAAACTCATCCCAAACCCGTTCCACCTCTCAGAGTCGAAAATGATGGCGATCGGCTTTTAGTCACCCCACAGGAGAAAGCAAATGCGATCGGCAAGCATGTCGCTTCATCGCATTTGCTTGGCTCGAATATCCAAAGTCCGCTCGAAGATCAGGTTGCGCAATGCGTACAAAACCTTGATGCCTCCCCTTGTGTCGTGCCACCGGTGGATATGATTACATTGCAACAGATTTGCTCAGCGCTGGAATGCACCAAGAACATGAAGGCTCCCGGGTTTGACGGTATATTCAACTTGATCTTGAAGAGACTCAGCATGAAAATGCAGTCTCTTCTAACCGCTATCATCAACAGATGCTTGGAACTGCACTTCTTTCCAAGCATCTGGAAGATAGCAAAAATCATACCAATCCGCAAACCCGGAAAGGATCCAACATTGCCTTAAAGCTACAGACCAATCAACCTCTTGTCAGCGCTGAACAAATTGTTCGAGAAACTCATTCTCAATCGTTTGCTCAAGTTTGTAGAGGAAAACAACATTCTCCTTCCGGAACAGTTTGGATTCAGAAAGGGGCACTCCACCAATCACCAGCTAGTACGGGTGATGAATAACATCCGAAGTAACAAAGCTGTATCCAAGTCCACAGCCATGGTATTGTTAGACGTTGAAAAGGCGTTTGACAATGTTTGGCATGACGGACTTGGGTATAAGCTTTGTAACTTCAACTTTCCTTTACATTTGATTAAAATCACCTGTAACTACCTCCAGCAAAGGTCGTTTAAGGTATCGTTGAACGGTTGCCTTACAGATACGTCCCAGCAGGAGTCCCGCAAGGCAGTCTGTTGGGCCCGTTGCTTTACAGCATCTACACTTCTGACATTCCTCCCCTCGGAGAAGGTTGCGTGTTTTTCCTAATCGCAGAAGATACCGCAATAGCCGTCAAAGGAAGGATGCATCGCGAAGTAACGAACAAACTTCAACGCCATTGCTGATTATGTCACCACGTGGAAAATTGTGCCTCCAATGTAGAGAAAACTGTAGTCAAGTGTTCTGCCTTGGTTAGGTGTCTGTATCCGCTGATTTGCCGTAGATTCCGCCTCTCAAGGGTGAACAAACTGGCTGTCTACAAACAAATCATAGCACCTGCGATCCTCTACGCAGCACCGGTGTGGGAATCATGTGCACAGACTAACAGGAACAAAATTCAGGTCGCTCAGAATAGAGTGCTAAGGATGGTTCTTGACCGCCCTTTCGATACAAGAATTTCTGATCTCCATCTAGAGGCGAACGTTCCTAAATTAGATTTCAAAATTGCTGACATTAAGACTAGGTTTGTGCTGGAATGCAATACATCAGAACATGCTTTAATAAGCAATTTGTATACAGTAGGTTAGGTGTATATAGTAGTTATATTTTAGTTGTAGTTGTAAATAGAAGTTATAAGTAGTCTTCTTTTTTTCAATTTAAAACAAACCAATCCCAACCAAGGTGGTCATTCTCGAAAACAGGCCTGATAGGGCTAGGAACTGTAATTAATAATAAATGAAATTTCAACAGAACTAAAGTTGAAAAAACGCATCTGTGTCACTTGATAACTCATACATGTTAACCACACAACAACAAGAAATAAAGATCATTTAAAGTCTTTTTTAAAGTAAAAAAAAAACATTAATTTTCAGAAGAAAATATCAGTGGACAAATTTTTAGGAAAGGGAAATCTGAGGATTCCTTTCAAATTAGTTCTGAGAAACTCGTGACTCCA